CCCTTCCCAGCCAGGTGAGCATCCATCAGTAACCACATTCAATTTTTACCCCCTGTTTCTCTATGCGCCTCATAAAGGGATTCTCCTGCAGCTAGAAAGCGCTATTGACGATGTAGAACTCTCAAGTACAGGTGGATTTACGGAAGATGGAAGGTATGTTTCCTTTTTTTAAAAAGAAAAGAAAATCTCTTCCAACTTGGTGTTACTGTAACCTTTATTTTTGCATGCTTCTCTTTTGGCTGAGTTACTTACTTACTTACTTGTTCCAACTTACTTGTTCTTACTTACTTGTTCTTACTTGTTACTTACTTGTTCCAACCATAATTGGGACCGGAAAATTCCTCCTTAAGCAAGGCATTCCAAGACCCCCACCTTGATTGTACGACCTTTTTTTTTTTTTGCTGCGGTCGTTAAGTGTGTCACTACGGTTGTTAAGCAAGACATCACGTGCAACCTTCCCTGCCAGCTTCCCTGCAGCTCCCCTCACTCGAGAAAGAAGAAAAGCACTGGGCGCGCTGCTGGTGTGCGGGGAACTGCGCGTGTACACTGGCCCGCCTCTCGTGCGGCCTGGTTCCAAATAGGCCATGGCCCGGTTGTGGACCCCAGATCTAGAGTTTGATGTGGAGCCCAGCAGTCGCACTGAGGGGAGGATGCTGTTCTGACCTCGGCTTCCCCAAAAAGCTCTAAGCAGACTCTCTGTCCCAGCAAAACCCCTTTTATTAAATGAAGGTGAGTTTCACACATTCACTTTCAGCCAAAGGCCTGGCAAACAGTCTTTCAAAGGGTGTAATTAGGAGCACAGATCTTATCTAGCCTGGAGAGCTACCAAGTAAATATTTCCAAACGCAGTGCTGACAAGGAAGGACTCGGCACAGAGTCTTTGAGATGCACAGACAGATCTTCACACTGCTGCAACGCATGAATTGTTTCCTGAAAAAGCCCCCTCCCCTTTTGCTCCCCTTTTAATCCCTATGGAAAGGGGTCATCCACCGTCTACCTGAGGCCTTACTCCCACGTCGACCCTTAGTTTGTAATTGTTCTTTTCTTTTGGCAGCTCTGCGCATGAACAGGCTGGGAACCAGCTCCAGCTGCTCCCCTGCCTCACTGCTGTCTGACTCCGAAGGCAGCTGATAACTGCCGGACTGCCCTGGCCCCATCTCTATATCTGATGCAGAGCCCTTGCCCGAGCCTTCCTCAGGGCTGGCCCATGCTTCTGCCCAACCTCCTCACTGTCCGACTCTCCTGCCAGCTCTGCTAGCCGCTGGCGGGCCACAACAGATATTCTGCCCCATAGTACTGCTTACCTTTGATGCTAAGAGCTAAGAGAAAACGGAGAACTCGGGGTGAAGAACAACCACAATACCACAAAGAGCTAAGAGCAATATAAAGCAGAAGTAGACCCCTTCCCAGCTCACATATGCCGGGCTGAAGACCAGATGCGGTTCTGAGCGGCTCCAGGCGGTGGGTCTCAAGTGGCACCCATTCCTCTTTTGGGGAGCTCCTGTTAATGAGATCTGCCATATTAGTAAAAATGAGTTCTTTAGGCATACGTCAGGCATTCAGTCTCTAAAAAGAACATCCCTCCCCTTCCGTATAAAAGAAAGCCTCAAATGTCCCTTCTATCTCTTCCTCTTCCCACTTTGAGAGCCATAAAAGGATGCTGCATTTTTTAGATCTCTAATTAAGCACATTTCATAATTAAAATCAGAGCCTGCTTTCCTTGGCATTTGGGGAAACAACTGAAATAATGCAAGAAAGATCTATCTATCCTTTCTTTCTTTCTTTCTTTCTTTCTTTCTTTCTTTCTTTCTTTCTTTCTTTCTTTCTTTCTTTCTTTCTCTATCTATCTATCTATCTATCTATCTATCTATCTATCTATCTATCTATCTATCTATCTATCTATCTATCTATCTATCTATCTGTGATGACTTGGGGTGTGGCACAAAAGCAACAAAGTCACAAAAGTAGGTAAAGTCCCTTTAATTCCTTCAACTTGGCCCCCAATGTCCAGTTATCATCGGTTGGAGAAAAAACTCTCCCAAGAACAGTTTTTAAAGGGAAGAAATTAACTCCGAACCCAAAGTACATATAAATTATCAATAAAAACCAACACCAACCACGCTGCAGCAATTAACGAGACAGGGCAGGATAAGGAATTGCAGAATTCGAAAGATAATGAAACACACACGGTTGGGAGGACGCCAGAACCCAGATAAAACTTGACAAACAAAGATAATGCACGCTTTGCTTCCAGCAAGGCTCTGTGCGCAAACACCTTCTTTATCCTGTTTTCAGCTGATGAAAGAGATCAGGGCCCTTTTCTCTCTTGTAAGCCACGTTGCTCCCTTCTCCGTTCCTCCCTGTGCGCCCTAGCATGAAGAGGGGGTGGGCCTGGGTCTTCCTCTGAATGTCCAGCCGGACTGTGCCCTTCCCCTGTTTATTCCCACTCCCACTTCCTTTCCCCACACTCCCACTCCCTGTCAGCTATTCCACCTCCCCCTTGGAATCAGACTCCAACAGGAGCATGACACTATCTCTATTTATCTCTCTCTATCTTTATCATCTATCTATCTAATGTATTTATTAAATTTATAGGCCTGCCTTCTCACGATTTGAGGAGACTCCGGACTGTTTATTGAAATAATAAAAATAGAGATACAAGAACCGTTATAAATATAAAAAACAAGATTTAATGTCAGGGTTCCAAGTAACAGCCCCGATGAAATCAAAACTCCCAAGGCCAGTCATGTAGCCAAAATAACATTCTTTCTAACACTCTGAGACAGCACCTGGGAGCCATCCAGATTTGGGAGGGGGGCCTGATGGGGGCATGCGATGGTTGTGTGTAATGGGGGGAACTTGGGGGTTAGAATTGGGGAAACCCACGGAGCTTCAGAGCCGGGTTTTCACTAGCTGTGCCAATAGGACATGCCTAATAAATCTATACTTTGAGGAAGCCTCTGGCTTTGGGGGCTTGATTTCGTATGGGCTGTTACTTGGAACCCTGACATTCACCTGACACTGTCCCGCATCGCTCGTGGCAACCCTGAAGACTTTCCAAGTTGGCTCCAGGGTTGACATTTCAATGGTGGGCTCCTGGATGTTCTCTGAGCTTGGTTGTTTTCTTCATTACCCAACTATGTAACATCATCAGTGCTAGAAGGAGATGGGTTTGCAGGGAGGAGGAGGAGGAGGAGAAGTGGTAGGGGGAGAGAGGAGGAGGACTGTCCTTGGTGCTCTCTGATCTTCGTTGTTTTCTTTCAGGTGTTTCATTACCCAAACTGGGTGACATCTTCAGGGCATGGATGATGTCACCACTTGGGTAAGGAAACATCCGCAAGACAACAATACAGGTTCACAAAGCGCCGAAGGGACCTTGCCGTTGAAACCCGAGCTACAAATATCCTCTCCCATCAGATGAAAATTTACAAAAGACTCAATACAGAGTGAAGAGATCCCAGGTTAGCAGCAGAGGCAGTGCCTTCTCTGTCACTGCACCGACCCTTCCAGCCTGCAGTGTCTCCATCGGGGGGGGAGAAACCAAACTGGTAGAGTTCAGGTTTAAGGCCCTTCCTGAAGACCAAAGCGATGGAGGTTGATCTCACCTCCGGCAGCAAGATCTTCCAAAGGGCCCTTGGGTAGAGAAGGTAGTCTTCTCCTAGACCTCGCCAGCTGAACTTCCTGGGCTGATGGAGTTTGTAGTAAGCTGGAGTTTGCATTGGCAGCACCATAATCACATCCAGAGGTGGGCTTCAAATTTTTTTAGCCACGGGTTCTTTGCCCGGTGGCTGGGTGGGCGTGGCCTAGTCAGCCTCCTGTACCACTTTTTTGCCCCCCCCCCTGGGCTCCGGAGGCTTTCCGCGAGCCTCTGGGAGGGCGAAAACAGCCTCCCCAGGCTCTGGAGGCTGAAACGGGCCCATTTCTGGCCTTCCTGAACTTCCCGGAGGCTTGTTTTTCACCCTCTCTGAGCCTCTGCACATGCCCTGCACTTACCTGCATCCAAAACGAGTCGTGTGGGGACTCCTGGCAGGGGTGGGCGGGTGAGCCAGCCAGGAGTGGGATTTGGGGGTTGTCCGAACGGCCCAAAATCTTAGCTAGGGGCTCTCCCAAACCCCTGCGAACCCCGCAGCAGCCCAGCCCTGATTGTATCCTGCCCCTTCCCTTCAGCAACTCCAGGGAATGGCTACTATCCTCCTTCTCCACAGGTCACCTTCCCAACAACCTATGATTTAAGGTAGGCCGAAACATTGGTGTGTAAACCACACTGACTTCCCTCTTGTTGAATCAGAAATTTATTTCAAAATAGTTTTGTTTTAAGACAAGATGCCCCGTTGATCTTGGCAGGTAAACCTGGGATAAGCTGTTGCAGAACGAGGCTGAGCTTTCTGCTAACTTACGCTTCCAAATGAGGCATAGAGCTATAAAGTCTACTGTTTTTGTCTTCCTTTCCTCCCCGTTTTGAATCCAATGTCAAGTGTGGGTGGCATAGTGATGATTTGTGGCAAGTTGAAAAAAAAAAAAAGGAAAAAGAAAATTGGATTTTGTAAGCGAAGGATGGCAGCATGGTTTTCATCCTACAGGGAGAGGAAGGCTGTTTCCTTTCAGGATGTACTAAAAATACTTTCTTAACAGTATGTTTCTGCTTGAATCTCTAGCTACATATTTGACTTGTTCGCCAAGGCTCAAATCACATTCCAAACCCAGAACTCTCTCCTTGAATCACTGGAACAAATTGTGCAGTATTTAGCTGGCCGTAAGTATAGACCCCGTTTTTATGGGAAAAAAGATGTCTTGGGGAGGATGGAAAACTGGAATTACAGAATGGAATAAACGGAGTTGGAAGGGACCTTGGAGGTCTTCTAGTCCAACTCCCCTGCCTAGGCAGGAAGCCCTACACCACTTCAGACCAATGGTTATCCAATCTCTTCTTTAAAACTTCCAGTGTTGGAGCATTCACAACTCCAGGAGGCAAGTTGTTCCACTGATTAATTGTTCTATCAGGAAATTTCTCCTTAGTTCTAGGCTGCTTCTCTCCTTGATTAGTTTTCACCCATTGCTTCTTGTCCTGCCCTCAGGGGCTTTGGAGAATAGCTTGACTCCCTCTTCTTTGTGGCAGCCCCTGAGATATGGGAACACTGCTATCCTGTCACCCCTGGTCCTTTTTTTCATCAGACTAGACATATCCAGTTCCAGCAAGCGTTCTTCATATGCTTTAGCCTCCAGTCCCCTGATCATCTTTGTGGCTCTTCTCTGCACTCTTTCTAGAGTCTCAGCATCTTTTTTACACCATGGCGACTAAAACTGGATGCAGTACTCTAGGTGTGGCCTTACTAAGGCCTGGTAATAGTAATGGTTGCAGTCTCCCAGGGTTACATGATCACCTTTTACTATCTTCTGAGAAGCCAAGTCAATGGAGAAGCCAGATTTTCTTTACAGCTCTGTTACTTACTTAACCATTGCAGCGATTCACTTAACAACGCTGGCAAGGAAGGTCATAAAATGGAGCCAGATTCACTTAAAAAATGTCTCCCTTAGCAGCAGAAATTTTGGGCTCAGTTGTGGTCGTAAGTCGAGGATTACCTGAATTTACTATCCCGCCCAGCTGCCTTCTGCACCAGCTGAAGTTCCCGAATGCTCTTCAGGGCAGCCATGTGTGTTGCTCATTGCAGCCATCTAAGCAAGAGGTTGCAAGAGGGCTTGGGTGACAGTGAGAAGGGCCTCCCAGTCCAGAAATGGGCAGATACTGGTGGATTCGCCAGTTTTGGCTCTGTTGGATCAAGGCAGCCTGGCATTTATCCTAAATAAGAGCTCTGTTGCAATGAGTGGCATGTAGGTAGGCCTCGACTTAGGGCCACCATTGAGCCCAAAATTTCTGTTGTTCCATGAGACATTTGTTAAGTGAGCTTTGCCCCATTTTACGACTTTTCTTGCCGCCGTTGTTAAGTGAACCACTGCAGTTATTAAGTTAGTAACGTGGTTGTTAAGTGAATCTGTCTTCCTCGTTGCCTTAGTTTGTCAGAAGATCGCAAAATGGGATCACGTGACTCCGGAACATTGCAACCGTCCTAAAATAGGAACCAGTGGCCAAACGTCTGAATTTTCATCCTGCGACCGTGGGGATGTTGCAAAACGGTCGTAAAGTCACTTTTCCCACTCTAGTTGTAACTTCAAACTGTTGTAAGTCGAGGACTTACCTGTACTGAGCTGACTTTGAAACTGCCCGGGAATCAGGGTTGGTGTAAGCAAGGCCGTAACATTAACTGGAACTGGTTGCTTTGATAACGTTATGGTAAGGGATATTAGCTCCGTAAAATGCCTAGATCTGAGTTAGACTAGGGGGTCCCCAAATCCTAGTTTATGGACCGCACCGGGCAGCGGTATGCCAGAAACTGGGCTGCGCAAACGAGTGAAGCCCCATCCGTGGGATGCACACAGCAGCACGCGAAACCACGCCCTTCTCCATGGGACCAGTCCCCTGGGGACCATTGAGTTAGTCAAAAACTTTAAGCGTCTTATGATCCCCCTTCCATCCCTTTAGCTTCTCTCTCTTCCTTTTGAAATTTTCCCCAAATCAGGTTAAATCTAATTAAAAATCTCGGGGAGTTTTAAAAGCATGCATAGCCACATCTGCCAGTGGAACAATTAAAAGCTGCTTTTTTTTTTTTTTTTTGTATTTAACCATTAATGATGGATCATTTTGAAACCATTTCTATAGAATATGTTAAGTGTTTCTGACAGGTTTTGACCTGCTAAATCCAATTTTCTGTTTCCAGATAATCCACTTAAGCACTCCTCTTAAACCCGAGAGTAAACAAAACTGTTTAAAGAGTTTGATCACATGTGTATGCCAGTCGATATTAAAGAACATTAACCCCCAATGAATTAATGCATTAATGAATTTGTTTCCTACATTGATTAATTTATTTCCTACATTAATTAATTCCTAATTGGATTGATTTGTTTCCTACATTGGCCGTAGGGTGAACCCTGTCAAGTGTGAACACAGTGTCTGAGTCATATCAAATTAACCAGAAATTGTAAAGATGTTCCGGAGCAGTTCATGTGTTTGTAACCTTTCAGTTGTTTGAATTACAAAGTGATGAGGGTGTTTCCATTTCTAAAGATACTTGTGTTTCGTTTTCCCCTCCTCCCCCGTTTGCTGGTGACCTGGTGTTTGTCGTGGCGTCTCATATCATTTAATTGCACGGCTGAAGGATGTACTCTTATTACACATGCTCCCCGGTTGGTCACACGCTCAACACACAGTTCTGGTCATTAGTCACACTTGAATCACATTCAATGGAAGACTGAGGCACAACCGGTTCTTTGGAAGACCCAGAGACCCGGTGAATATGAAAGAACAGCAAAACTTGACAGGTTAATCCATCAAAATAGAGCTGGAAGGGACCTTGGTGGTCTTCTAGTCCAACCCCATCTCAAGCAGGAAGACTATACTATTTCAGACATGTGACTGTCCAATTCCCTTCTTAAAAAGCTCCAGTGATGGAGCACCCATGATTTCTTGATTCAAGCTGTTCCACTGGTTAATCGTCCACGCTGTTTGGAAGTTTCTCCTAAATTCCTGGTTGCTTTTCTCCTTGATGAGTTTCCATCCGTTGTTTCTTGTCCTGCCTTCTGGTGCTTTGGAGAATAGCTTGACCCCCTCTTCTTTGGGGCAGCCCCTCAAATGCTGGAAGACTGCTGTCATGTCCCCCTTAGTCCTTCTCTTCTCTAGACTGGCCATACCCAATTCCTTTAACCATTCTTCATTGATAACGTACTTTTGTACTTTCTCACGTGCATCCAAACACTCATTCACACTTGCTGACGTCCTTCCCAGCTAGGCTGGCAGACATTAACCAGAGGGATGGCGGCCATCCAGTCTGGATCCAAAGACAACTCAAACAGTGGGTGGGCTTCTGGACCCCTTTTCTCTCCCAAAGACCTTGCTTTGTTGATTGACAAGATTGGCAACTACTCTTACCTTGTTGATTGACAAATCTGGTAGCTGTTAATGGGATCTGGGGAGGAGTTTTCCATGTGGTCAGATCCAAGCTCTTTCGTCTGGTTCAGGTGAAAATGTTTCCACTTGTTTTCGTGAGTTCTAGCCTTGTCTTAGGTACAAAAAAAAACAATTGGGTGACTTTGGGCCAATCAACAAGAGGCTGTGAGTTCTAGTCCTGCCTTCAGCATGAAGGCTGGCTGGCTGGCTGGCTGACTTTGAGCCAATCACACTCTCTCTCAACCCATCCCACCTTACAAGTTTGTTGTGGGGAAAATAGGAGGATGAAGGAGGCTTAAGTATGTTTGTCACCTTGAGTTGTTTATAAAAATAAGGGCAGGAAATAATACATTATCTCCCAGAGGGATCCTTTAGACAAGATTCCTGGCTTTTTTATCCATTCTATGTACCTGCTTCATTTTTAGGTATGGCAGCTTCACCTTAGTCTCACCCTGTGCATTGAAATCTTCTTTATCATTTCCATGTAACTTTTCACAGGCCTCAGAGCAACAAAGATGATTGGGAGATTGGAGGCTTCCAAGGCTAGACTGGCTAGTCGTTACTGTCAATTTTTGGGAGAGGAGTTGCAGATGAATTGATGTTATCTGGCCCTTAAGGCTTCAGCTTATGCTTGTTTATATAGGCAGTACTCAACTTCCCGTAGAACCACAACTGAGCCCGGAATGTATGTTGCTAAGCGAGAAATTTGCTAAGTGAGTTTTGCCCCATTTTATGACTTTCCTCACCACGTTTGTTAAGTGGCTCACTGCAGTTGTTAAATTAGTCACACAGTTTTTAAGTGAATTCGGCTTCCCCATTGACTTTGCTTGTCTATATCAGAGGTCTCCAACCGTGGCAACTTTAAGACTTGTGGACTTCAGCTCCCAGAATTCTCCAGCCAGCTATGCTGGCTGGAGAATTCTGGGAGTTGAAGTCCACAAGTCTTAAAGTTGCCAAGGTTGGAGACCTCTGACTACACGACCCTGGGACACTGCAAATATCATAAATGTGAGTCAGTTGTCAAGCATCCAAATGGAAATCACGTGGCCAGGTGGATGTTGCAATGGTCGTAGGTGTGAAAAACGGATCGTGTCACTTTTTTTTCGTGCCATTGTTACTTTGAATGGTCAGTAAACGAACAGTTGTAAGCCGAAGACGACTTAGATTGTGTCAAAGTAGTTGGAATTTTAGATAATTTTATTTAACACCATCTTCTAAACTTCCTGTATGGTAGTGAATAACAAAACGGGAAACAGTATGTTCAAAGTATATTTGTCATGTTTTCTGGGATATATAGAAATACTGTTTTCATACTTTTTTGTTCTAGGTTCTGGGATATTCACTAACACTGCTGGACTGCATAAATTTGCAGATGTAATTCAGGTAAACTCTCAGTTCTTGAATTAAATATATAAAAATACTGTATATTTTTATGCTTGGTGTTCCACCATCCTTGATGTTTTCTTAACCACCACTAGATGGCTATCCAAGCTGTACTTTACGCTGAATTAATCAGGACAAAAAAAGATATACTGTTTGGTCAAAAAGAAATTGACCAAAATTGTTACATTACTATTCCTTACACTCAGCAACCTTAAGATGTCTGCACTTCCAATGCATCCTGGCTAAGGATTCTGGGAGTTGAATTCCGCGCCTCTTAAAGTTGCTGAGTTTGAAAAAAACAATGCTTTGGATTCTACGGTGATATGTAATGTGGACACATCCATGATTGATTAATTGATTATGTACTATCAAGTTGTTTTCAACCCCAGTGTAGTACACACTACATATATAGATGTGTATATTAGCAAAAAAAACAGAAGTAGCTATTTCATTGCACCAATTAAAGGCCTGGAGACTAAAACATATGAAGGACGGTTGCAGGAACCGGGTATAGCCAGTCTAGAGGAAAAAAGGACTAGTGGAGACATGATAGTACTATTCCAGCGTTTGATGGGGTGCCCCAAAGGAGAGGCAGTCAACTTATTTTCGAAAGCACCAGAAGGCAAGACAAGAAGCAATGGATAGGAACTAATCAAGGAGAGAAGCAACATGGAATTAAGGAGAAACTTCCGAACAGTGAGGACAGTTAACCAGTGGAACGACTTGCCTCCAGAAGGTGTAGGTGCTTCATCACTGGAGGTTTTTAAGAAGAGACTCCATTGAAATGGTGTAAGGTTTCTTGCTTGAGCAGAAGGTTGGATTAGAAGACTTCCAAGGCCCCTTCCAGCTCTATTCTGATTGAAATATGCTTTTTCCTCATCGGCAAGAGCCCAATGATTTTATGAACTGCATTAGCATAATTAACTGCAAATCCAATTACATTCCTATCTTGTAATTGCATTGATAGTACAGTAGGTGCTTGACCTGATTCTCAAATCAACCTATTTTCTAGGGTTTGCACAGTTCATTAATATCTAAACTCATTAAAGAGGCAGAAATACAGCCAGGCCTCATTGAACATCCTCTTGTAAAGCAACCATTCAAAATTAACAACTGCACTGAATGAAGGGGACTTCATAGCAATAGCACTTAAGACTTATATGCCGCTTTATAGTGCTTTACAGTCTTCTTTAAGCGGTTTACAGAGTCAGCCTCTTGCCCCCAACAATCTGGGTCCTCATTTTACCCACCTCGGAAGGATGGAAGGCTGAGTCAACCTTGCCAAATTGTAGGCAGCTGGCTGCAGAAGTAGCTTGCAATACTGCACTCTAACTACTGCGCCACAAAGGTATTTGCAGTGGTGGCCGTCGCAGCATTCCCCCCCATGGCCATGTGATCGCAATTCAGGCGCTTGCAACCCGCTCGCAAATGCAACATTGCAGCATCCTGCAGTCACACGATGGCCTTTGGCGATCTTCGGTTTCTGATAGGCAAAGTCCATGGGGAAGGCGGCTGGAGGTTGCAAATAACAACCCCATCATCGTGGGATGCTGCCACCACAATGTGAAATCCTCCTTAATGATGGCAGGTGGGCGTGGCACAACCGTGGTCATAAGTCAGGGCGGTCACGCAATGTTTTACCCTAGGATTGCGATGGGAGTTCCCAGTTCCAACTACAGGTAGTCCTCAACTTCCAACAGTTCATTTAGTGACTGCTGGAAGTTTATCCCTGAGAAAAGCGACCGTTTTTCACACTTAACGGCAATTTGCAAATATCCTCATGGTCAGGGGACCAAAATTTGGATGCTTGGCAACAGGTTCTTATTTATTTATTTATTTTATTAATAAATTAATACTGCTGCCTATTCAACCATGGCGACTCGAGGCGGCTTACGCAATGTAAAACCTTATTTAAAAACTAAAATTAAAACCAGAAAACAATAAAGACTAACTAAGAATCAAATGAATTAGTAAAGTACAATGGAACAAAATTTGGTGGGAGGGGGGGAGAAACCACCTCCTACCCCCCCGCCCCGACCACAGCAGATCACAGATCTTCAGTGCCTTTCGGAAGAGTATTAGTGAGGGGGCCATTCTAATCTCTGGGGGAATGATATCCCAGAGAGACGGAGCCACCATGGAGGAGGCCCTTCTTCTGGGTCCCACCAGGTGTATCTCCCTCAGGGGTGGGACCCGCAACATTCCCTGCCTCCTCGCTCTAATGCAGGGGCAGTCAACCTTTTTATACCTACCGCCCACTTTTGTATCTCTGTTAGTAGTAAAGTTTTCTCTAACCGCCCACCGGTTCCACAGTAATGGTGATTTATAAAGTAGGGGACAAAAACCCTACCGCCCACCATGAAAGCTGGAACGCCCACTAGTGGGCGGTAGGGACCAGGTTGACTGCTCTAATGGGTCGGGTAGAAGTGACCAGCAAGAGACGGTTTATGCCGGTTGCAGCGTCCCATCCCGTCCCGCTCGGATCCTGCGAACACCTTTTGCAGCCTTCTGAAAAGCAAACTCAACGAGGAAGCCAGATCCACTTAGCCACCGGATTATTAACAACTGCAAAACGATTCACTTTCACAACTTGTGGCAAGCAAAGTTGTGAAATGGGACAAAACTCAAAAGTTAACAAATGTCTCACTTAGCAACATAAACATTGGTCTCAATTATGGTCATAAGTTGAGGACTGCCTGTACAAGGGCTGAGCAAGGACAGTTACAAATAGCAACTATGAGAGGAATCTTGGAGTCCTAGTGGACAATCATTTAAATATGAGAGTGCGCTGCAGCTGCCCAAAAATCCAACACAGTCCTAGGTTGCATAAACAGGGATAGAATCAAGATCACATGAAGTGTTAATCCCGCTTTATAAGGCCTTGGTAAGGCCACCCTTGGAATCCCGCATCCAGTTTTAGTCGCCACGATGAAAAAAAGATGCTGAGACCCAGAGTGCCGAGAAGAGCAGCAAAGATGCTTAGGGAACTGGAGGCTGAAACATATGAAGAACGGTTGCTGGAACTGGATATGTCTAGTCTGATGAAAAGAAGGACTAGGGGTGATATAATAGCTGTGTTCCAATATCTCAGGGGCTGCCCCAAAGAAGAGGATGGAGTCAAGCTATTCTCCAAATCACCTGAGGGTAGGACAAGAAGTAATCAAGGAGAGAAGCGACTTAAGGAGAGATTTCCTGACAGAACAATTAACCAGTGGAACTGCTTGTCTCCAGAAGTAAATACTCCAACACTGGAAGCTTTTAAGAAGAGATTGGACAACCATTTGTCTGAAATGGGGTAGGGTTTCCTTCCTAAGTAGGGGGTTGGGCTAGAACAGTGGCCCCCAACCTTTTTTGTACCACGGACCGGTACTGGCATCACAAAATGATCCACGGACCGGTACCGGCATCAGCACGCACGACCAAGGCAAGGCGAGCCGAGCGACCGGCCAGCCAGCCGTCCCCCGCTTCTCCCCGCCACCTTCAACTCCTCCTTTGTACCTTTTTTGTGCTTTTCGGGCTCTTTCTTAATCTCCTCCTGAGTAACGCGAGACTCCACCGCCATCGGGACGGCTCTTCGTTCGAAGCCGCCCCCCCCTTCGACAAAACTAAGGCGCGAGGATTCCTTCAGCACCCAAACGCCGCTTTCCAACCGACGACTGACAAGCTCACCCGGAAGCACTTTCTCAAGCGCCATCGAAACAAGATGGCAGCGCCCAAGCAAACCGGCGGCCTGGTAGAAAATGATCCACGGACCGGTACCGGTCCGGGGCCCGATGATTGGGGACCACTGGGCTAGAAGACCTCCAAGGTCCCTTCCAACTCTGCTATTCTATTAGGTTAAAACAAATTTAGCAGGCTATGGAAACAGAGCTACTGGGTGTAGAAGTGACCTGACTAAAGAATCTTATCTCCTTTCGCATACTTTAATAATATATTTTTGCATAAAACTAAGTTCTCTTCCACCCTTCTGTTCTTTCAGTCCCCCTCAAGGGCTGCTTTGATCATCCTCATTATCATTTTAAAACATTCTAAAATGAAAATAGTAAAAGGAATAGTAAATTCGGAGCGAAGCACTAGGCATTCTCACAGCAGGAGCAAAAAATATCCCCTGTTCTTTAATTCTAGCTATTTTTTATTTTTTTTTACGCCATCTGTATGGCCGTAGCAGCTTATACTCTGCAGTATGAAAAAAGTCCATGAAAACAATCCGAATTTGTCTCGGAACACTTGTCAAAAATAGCCCCAAAGGCTAGCAGGAGGATCTTACTTGGGTCACAGACCCACAAATTAATGCTTCTTACTCGACCACAGTCGAGCCCAACAATTTCTGTGGCTAAGGAAGACGTTTGTTAAGTGTGTTTTGCCCCATTTGACGACCCTTCTTGCCACAGTTGTTAAGTGAATCACTGCATTTGTTAAGTTAGTAATCTGGTTGTTAAATGAATCTGGCTTCCCCATTGACTTTGCTTGTCAGAAGGTCGCGAAAGGGGACAAAGTGACTCTGGGACACTGCCAAGCATCTGAATTTTGATTACATGGTCACGGGGATGCTGCAAAGATCATGAAAAACAGTCATCAGGCACTTTCTCCAGTGCCGTTCTTAACTTTGAATGCTCACTAAATGAATTGTTGTAAATCAGGGACTAACTGTGCTGGGAAATTCCTGAGGCATCTGTTGGAAACCCAAGAGGAACTGTTTAAGATATGCAAGATGGGCCAGTAAATGGTCTCCATTCCCCCCTATAGAGGTCAATGGTGGCTGAAAGTCTGGCTAATCATGAGAAGAAACTGATGTTAATCACCCTCAGATCACAAATAGATCTAAAACGGAATGAGAATGGCTTTTACCAGAAATCAGAAAATTCATTAAGAAAAACATCCCTACCAATACAGAGAGAATATTTGTATCTCAGGGTTGGACTTTGGGGTTCCAGATGCTCTCTGAGCTTGGTTGTTTTCTTGCAGACGTTTCATTACCTGATTAGGTAATATAATCAGTGCTAGAAGTGAAGGGGCTTGCTCTCTGCTTATATGCAAGTGGATTGCCCTGTTGGTGTTGGGAGTGTTCTTCGTGGTATATTGTATATACCACGTGGTATATTGTATATTGTTGGATTGTTTATCTCGGTAGGTCCTTGATTTGGGGTTACAGGTTGTTTGTTGGTCTAATATTCATCTTGGTGTTGATCTCTGCTTATCTGGATGTTGATTGCTGGCTGGTGAGGAAGTGTTTTGGTCTTTCTGTTTCCTTTTTAGCTTTCTGATTGTCTCTTTTGAATGGTATATACTGTAGATGTTGTTTATCTCTATGTGTTTGTTGATGGCTGATTTGTCTGAGTGCCAAGATTCCAGGACTCCTCTAAGGCTTTTGGATTTAGCTTAGTCTGAGATGCTTGGTCTCCTGGCGATTGGCCCAAAGTCATCCAGCTTGCTTTCATGCCTAAATTGGGGCTAGAACTCACCATCTCCTGGTGATTGGCTCAAAATCACCTAGCTCAGTGGCCCCCAACCTTTTTTGTGCCACGGCCCGGTACCGGCATCACAAAATGATCCGCGGCATCAGCAAGCATGACAAGGCAAGGCGAGCCGAGCGACCGGCCAGCCAGCCGTCCCCCGCTTCTCCCCGCCACCTTCAACTCCTTTGTACCTTTGTCGATGGGCTTTGCTTCGGGACGGCTTCGGGACGGTCGCTCGGCTCGCCTTGCCTTGGGTGCTGAAAGAATCCTCGGGCCTTAGTTTCGTTCGAAGCCCCCCCCCCCCTTCGATGAAACTAAGGCGCGAGGATTCCTTCAGGACCCAAACACTGCTTTTCAACCGGAAAAGCTCACCTGGAAGCACTTTCTCGTCAAACAAGATGGCGGCGCCCAGCAAACCGGCGGCCCGGTAGGAAATGTTCCACAGACCGGTACCGGTCCGCGGCCCGGTGGTTGGGGACTCCTGTCCTAGCTGGCATTCATGCCGAAAATGGGACTAGAACGCATAGTCTTCTGGCATCCACCCTGTTGCCTTAACCACCAGCCTAGGCTGACTATTAGTTACTTTTTTCTAAAATAAATAAACAATAAACTGCTTTAAAAGTGCATATTTTAAATGTTGTTTTTAGTTTCTGATTGCTGAGTTAAGGCCATGAAAGACGATAGAGTCATAATCATGAAGTCATAATCATGAAGTCCTTTTTGCTGATAAGGGGAAGGCATTTTCAAATGTTACTTTACTAGAAATGTGGCTGGATTCGTCACCCATTTAATTCTAGTTTTTTCTTCTCTTGTAGACTGTTTTTAATCTTGGTCCATCAGAAGGGGTGCCTGGCCGTGAGGTATCAAAACACTATAAGGTAAGTAACACCTTTGTAAGGCAGTGGCATCTTCTTTAACTGCTAGAAAATCAGAATATGATTTGCAAATCCTTTCAATAGGCTAAGCAAGAATTATTTGAAGTTAAATGGCACCTAAATTGAACACATTACATTAATTTAAATGGCCACTCCATTTTAAAGAAATAGAAAGCATGGGTTTCACAGCTCTTCAGTTTAGCCACTGGGGTTTTTAAAGACTTTTTTTTTTTTTTTTTTAAAACAAGTTTTATTAAAAGTTTCAACAACAAACAAATCATTACATATTAAATCTTTCCCTGTCTTTCTACAATAATTTCCCCAATATTCTCATAAAACACAAACAAACACAAACAAACATAAAAAAAAAATCTTTTAGTAAAGTACCTTGGCCCCAGTTACCTCTCTTTGCATGGGCTAAAATAATAGCACATATCACTCTTCACATTTCTATCTTATTTAATCCATCTTAATTAAATCATTAAATTTGTATCTTTTGCCCATTCATTTATCCCTCTATCTCTTCTTATAATAAAAAAAAATTTCTCCTGAAATCACTAATCAGAGTATGATGCCTTTCTATCCTCCCCCTAAGTTAGTAAAATTAACATTCAGCATAACAAATACCCAATTTGGTTCTGCTTGGTACATTTTATCCACCAAAAATGTTTAAATACATTGTATCCTCCTTTCCTTCGATATTTTATTACATTTTAAAAATCAATCATTATTAAAAACTTCAACATTTTAATTTCTTATTAAATCTTAAACCATTCTAATTTACTATTTCAAATATAAATGTTACAATACCATCTTCTGTACCTTAGCAGAATCTTTCTTACAGAAAATTATATTTCATCCTTTGTCTCTAAAAAAAATCCCTCTTCTCCCATCCAATTTTAAAGCTTTGAGGCTTTTCTCCGCCTTTCCCCTTTCTTTCTTCCCCCACCAAATCTTCCTACCCCCCCTTCTTCTTCTAACCTCTGCCTTGCTGGGATCCCTTCTCTGTTGTGTTCCCTTTTTCTCTTGTTTATTATCATTATATTTACTTTGCATCATATTTTTCTCTTTCTCAAATGTTTTTTTAGATCTTAAGTCCTTCATTTTCCTTGCTCTCTTCCTTCCTTCTTCCTTAGATAAGTTTTGGGATTCAATGAAGATGGCGTCTTCGTCTCTTCCTTGTTGTTCTTCTTCCGTTTCCATCTGTTCCATTGTCTGTTGGTAATTGACCAGCGCCATTTCTAGAAATAGAAAAGCTTTTTCCATGCCATCTTTGCAGGCTGCTTTTGTTTGCTCATATTCATCCCTCAGGTCTTCAAAAAGGAAAGCCATTATAAATAAATCTTTTCTTTTCTTTATTCCTCTTTCTTCTTACACCAACCAAATATTCCGAGAGAAAGGCAAAACAATCCCAAAATCCACAATCCTCAATAAATCCAAGCAAGCCAAAATTCCCCCTTCCTCTTCCAGGGGTGGTATCAAACAAATAAAAAAAAAGAATCCAAGTCTATATTTTAAAGCCTTATTAAGATTGTATTTCTGTCCTCAAGTCTTCAAGGCATCTCCTCCAACAAGATCCAAATTTATATATTTTCTTTATCCTCTCCCTTCCGGCTTAATTCCGTCGGGAGGGAGAGTAAACTTTCCCTTCAGCACCTCAAAATAGCCGCTTTTTTTTCTCTTGTGGAAGAAATCATCAGAAAACCATCTTTTCCAGGAATTAAATTAGATAAATCTCAAAGCCCTGGGTCGACCAAGAAGAACTTTCACTTTCAATAACTTTCTCTTCTTCCTCCTGCGCATACTTGCCCGGCTGTCAACTTCTTTGTGGCGGCCATTGCGGACCGCCGCTGCACCGTCCTGGTAACAGGGGGTTCTGCCGGCCAGGGAGGGGGTCTGCAACACCCCCAAACCCTTCCTCCGGATCCCCCTTACCTTCAGCTACCCCTGCAGGGCAGCCTTGCTCCGCACCCGTCCGGGTCGGAGCCCCAAAACGGCTAGCGCGGCAGGGATCGCGCAGCTTCGCGAATCCCTACCGCTCGCGAAGCCGACAAACCGGAAAACCGGGTTTTTAAAGACTTTTTTTGTACCACCTTTATTATTTTCGTAAATAACTGAAGATGGTGAACATATCTAAGATTCCTTCCTCTTCCTATTTTCTCCACAACAGCAATGCTCTGAGGTGGGATGGGCTAAGAGAGAGAGGAGTGGCCTAAAATCATAGTCTCCTTGTGGTTGGTCCAAAGTCACCCAGTGGCTTTCATGCCTAAGGCAGGATTAGAACTCAGAGCCTCCTGGCTCAAAATCACCCAGCAGCTTTCATGCCTAAAGTGGGACGAGAATTCACTGTCTCCTGGTTTCTAGCCTGGTCCCTTAGCTACTAGATCAAACTGGCTGCTAGTTACTCTTTTCTAAACTTCAGTCCATCTGTTTGAGCTGGAGGCTAAACACAGACCCAAAGAGCTGCCCAAGGAGCTGCTGATCCAGTTCTACAGAGGAATTATTGAGTCTGTCATCTGCACCTCTATAACTGTCTGGTTTGGTTCTGCAACCCAACAAGACAGACACAGATTCCAGGGAGAAATTAGGACTGCAGAAAAAAACAATTACTACCCACCTGCCTGCCATGGAAGACCTGTATCCTGCAGTCAAAAAGAGGGCTGTGAAAATATTTACAGACCCCTCTCATCCCGGACATAAACTGTTTCAACTCCTACCCTCAAAACGACACTATAGAGCATTGCACACCAGAACAACTGGACACAAGAACAGTTTTTTCCCGAATGCCATCACTCTGCTAAACAAATAATTCCCTCAACTTTGTTCAACTATTACAAAGTCTGCACTACTATTACTGTTAATATTCTCATCACTCCTTATCACCCATCCCCTCCCACTTGTGATTGTAGGACTGTAACTTTGTCACTTGTATCCTCACCATTTATATGGACTGTTTCCTAGTATGATTTGATTGTTGATTGTACCCTATGACTATCATTAAGTGTTGGACCTTATGATTCTTGATTCTTAACGAATGTATATTTTCTTTTATGTACACTGAGAGCATTTGCACCAAGACAAATTCCTTGTGTGTCCAATCACACTTGGCCAATAAAGTATTCTATTCTATTCTATTCTATTCTATTCTATTCTATTCTATTCTA